CACCCACACCCACACCCCACACCCACCCAGTTTCTTCTTGCTTTTAACATTGAATAAACCTCCACAAGTTAGGATATGGTTGAACAACTCTTGAGAAAAAACGTCGATTTTGTGCTAAAATTAAAACATTAAAATATAGGTAATTCACTCACACAGATTCCTATAAAGATCATCGTGAAGTCTTTTCTTGCCTTCAGCAAAACTATTTGTTCACCAATGGCTGTCAGATACTGACAACATTTCTGGTTTAAAATTATTAAACCATTGTTTTTCGAAATAATCTAAAAATGCTCTCAATTTCGCTGCTTCAGAAGATGCTCGAAGTTTTTTTTTCAATAGTTGAAATCCATCTGGAATATGTTCAATAGGTACAAGAGCCAATCCCATAAATGTACGTAATAAATGACGTAATTCTGGATCGCTTTCATATAATTTCATCAAGGCAATTTCTAGAATATTTCGATAGCAAGCTTGACACATGTGGAACCAGCATCCAGTTATACTTGTATCAGGTAACTAAGTGACATTTACATAGACGAATACATATTTTTGAATATTATGAGATATTGAAAAAAAATTGCGTACTTCTGTTTGAACAGCATTCATAAATGCTCTTTCGAAATCACAAACAATTGTAGTTGGTTTTAAATCTATACCCTTTTTTACCACCTATTCTTTTCAAATATCGGAAAATCGCTTCATACGTTTCTTGTTTTCTATTCGACGTTAGTATAAAAAAAACAGAAATGGCTAAAAATAATGAGAAAGCGAAATGAAAAAACATTTTATTTATCATTGGCAATATTATTGCATACAGTGCGAACATATCTCTCTCCTTCTCTCTTATCTTATCTAATTCAGGTGCATTCTTTCGTCTCTTTAGCCTATATACATATGTAGACGTATATATCATGTTTGTTTCTGTGTCATTTTCGTTCCGTTCTCTCTTATATCTTCATTCCATTAATTGCAAAGAAAAAGAAGATTTATACCTTCGCCATTTTGCATCCCATGTAATACATATAGCTGCTCAAATAGCTTTGGTGAAACCTTAAATGTGCCGTCAGCAAATAATACATCTGAACCATATAAGACATTTAGCTGTTCATCAGAAGCAAATATCATCAGACGACCTCCATAAATAGTTTTTCGCTTATCATATATAAGAAATTTTTGATGCGAGTAGGTTTCTTGATAAGCTGGTGGTAGGAGAAACTTTTGATTCTGTGGTATTGGTGATAATGATTTTCTTCTTAATTTATGTAGACCAGATTCTAATGAATAAAAATTAGAAGGTGGAATTATATTACAGAAAGAGAACTAATTTATATACCTATTTGAGTCGGAAGAGGCATCATTCGTTTTTCTTCGACTGATAGATTTGCTTTCCTATATTCTTCTTCAATTATGATTTTGATTGATATATATTCATCAAGAAAACGATGTTTAATTTTGTTTAATATATCACGCTTTCGTGTTTTACGTGCATCAGATAGATGACAATGGAATATGCCGTTTCAGTGACTAAATTGTCCTCTTCGTTTCGAGATATGAATAACGGCTTTGTAATTCTCATTTCTTCGAGCACACCGCCAACCCGTTGTTTCTTTTGCCATACTCATATAAAGATATGCAAAGCTGTTCATCAAAAACCATTTTTCCACCTCGTGTTGATGTACCCGTTGTTACTTCTCCTTTGATGACTGGTACATTCATAAGATGTTTTGAATCTCCTGCGAATATTTCATTTTCATCTTTGTTTGATGATTCTAATGATATGATAGAATCATTATCATCATTCTTTGTTGGTGATGATGTTGTTGGAGAAACTGAACCCGTTATTGGCGTTGAAGATGTTGGTTCACCTGTTGCATCGTCTTTTTTTAATATCACATCTTCATGAGGTTGTTCATGAATGCCTTCGAGTGTAAGTACAGCATCTAAAGTTGTTGACTGTGATTGAAGTGGAGGACATATTTGAGATTCAGCACAAGATATAATCTGTTGTACTTGAGCTTGTTTACGTTTCTGCTTTGATGAACATTTATGAGTTGTTTTGCCAGTTGATGTTGAAGTTGGTGTTGCTTGATCTTGTGAATGAATTAAATCTGCATTAGTGTGCGATCTTAATGCTGCTGCACGAGTAGTAACAGGCATTTGATTAACAATAGCTATCTGAAAAACTCGAAATCATATCATATATACTAAACTTTTTACCTATGTATTGATATGAACAGATGTTCAATGTGTTATGCTTCATACTTGTTAACACACAAATGATATTAGACTTATTTCGAATAAATCTAAAACTATAAATAAAAATTTTGATCATGTCATTTCCAACAATTTTCTTAGCGTGTATTTGTTACTGATCTCTCCGATCAATACCGCTATCATTTTTCAATCGCCCAATATCTGAAGGATTTACCGGCGCAAGTCCAGTGGAAATTCGCCAATTGGCTAATGTGAGGTCAGTAAACTGGCGAAAGATCAATGGACACTCGACAATTGGCGAATGTCAGAAAGGTACATTGGCGAAAGCACAGTGGACTTTCGCCAATGGCGAAAGTCCAAATTGCGAAAGTCTTATTGGCGGGTGTGGGTGTTGGTGGGTGTGGGTGGGTGTGTGGGTGTGG